GTGCTTGGAGCCTAGTCCGCTGTCCGAATCTTACGATTTGACGGCTCCAAGTACTGCTGTTTGATCATATTGGCACTGTGTTGTGATTGGTGAATTGAATGGTTTTCGGATTGATGCATGACAGCTTGATTGTGACTAGGACAACCTATGATGAGGACTGAGACGTGCAATAGAATTGTGTAGGAGTTCAGTTTTTCAACTGTTTGCTTACCAACTGTGACTTGATTGATCACTTGTTCTTGACAGTCGTTTATGCATCTAGTTCAGGGAATCAGAATGTGAGATAGAGCATATAGGTAGCCATGTGAGATTTGAGCCTGCTCGTTTCTTTCTTGTGCGATAGATCCCTCTTCCATGATGTGTAGCATTCACGTTGTCACTAGCTAAGATGATGGGGGCATAGGATTAGCCCACGACCAAATTTGACTGTCCTGATGTGTCATATCCCCTAGTCAGCTCCTTTGAGCCGTGTGTTATCCTTTCTTTTGGTCTATAATGAAAAATCACCCTTTTGCATCTTTTAGAAGGTTCCACAGAGTGGTTTTTACAGATTCTTTGCTGTTTCTGCTAAATTGAATGTGAGTGTTGGAGGTAGTGCTTAAAAGTTGGGCAGGTGTTTGAAATATGTGCAGAAGTGGTGGCTCTCTTAAGAAATGAAAAGAAAAACAAAGAAAAACAAAGAAAAAAACTGAAAGCAAAAGAGAGCCACTACCAAAAATCTGAATAATGCCCAGTAAGTAGTGTTTCTTAGCAGTTTGGCTTGGAAATGCTAACATTTATACCTCCTTCGCTTTTGATGCTCTTGAGATATTGAGTAATGCAGAATAACAGAAAGGAAATACCAGTTTGTTTGACTGTGATTGTGTGGGTTTGGAAATGTGAAACCTTGTGCTATGAATACTTCCACCACCTAAAAGGCCTTTTCCCCATGTCCAAGACCCTAGCCAGTCATTTGAACTTGTGTCTAAGACCTCCGGATTAGTTAGTGGTGACACTCCATATGTGAACTCTAGCATTTAGAGGCTGCCATCATGGTGAAGAGATGTTAGGGATTGAGATAAATAGCATGCGCATTTTTCGCATCAAATTGTCCTGACCCCACTGGTCGAGAGTGAGTGATTCATTTTCATATTCTATATACTCTTGTACCCCGGTGAGGACCTAGATTGCTCGGTCTCTATTCTGATGTCTTGAGTTGGATGCATGAGGTGACTGTTTTGAGTAAGTGGTTGAGTCAAGTCTAGGTTGGTTGGTGAACAGAAGGGAGACTCTTCCTTTACTCGATTTTGCTGCGCTCGAATGTCCTTTGTGGTGGTTGTCCAGGTTGCTATTGAAGTTGTTCATGTGTTGATGTTTGAAAACCAGTACGATTCACGTGTTCTGTGCCTTTATGACTTGTCCCCAATGTTGGTTGATTGAAAAATGTAAGCTTACCTGGTGTCTGACTTGGTTTGCTTGGGGGCAAGCAAACGGTTAAGTGTGGGGGAGTTTGATAGACCGTTAATTACACATGTTTTCACCCCTATTCTTGAGCCGTTTGAGGTGTTGATTTTCGTGTTTTAGGCCGATTTCACGCTAGGTTGTGCTTGTTTGTGATATTTCAGGTCCTATTACGTGAATGGAGGCTTGGGAGCGAGTTTGGGGTCAATTGGACAAAGATCGGACGCGTGGCGAGGTGCCAAGGAAGTCGCACGGGCAGTCCGGGACATCACACGGCCGTGCAAATGACAATTGTGGCCGTGTGATTTCGTCGAGAGCAAACACGGGCAGGATGGAAATCTCACACGGCCGTGCGACCCTGGCCGTGTGGGAAGCCTGAAAATCGAACTAATTGATACGCTGCGGTTTGACTCACACGGGCAACTGGGTGAGCCACACGGCCGTGTGGCCTGCCCGTGTGAGTCGGGAAATCTTGGTTTTTCAGCCAATTTCGAGCCAAAAGTGGGAGAATCGGATTTTCAAAGCAAAAACAGAGCCCTAGAGAGAGAAAGTGCGAAGAACACATCCTAGAAGCTATCTTGGAGTTGGGTTTCATCAAATCGAGCTTGGAGATCGTCATAGGAGTGGAAATCATCATCCCAGAGCAGATTTTCCTCATCTTTATGAGTATGACTACTCTGATTACTGTTTTCTTCTCTCTCTCTATGGAGTAGAACCCTTCTCTCACTTGGGTATGAAGAACCCTAGTTCCATGTGTTAGGGATTTGTTTGTAATGACTTGGGATGATTATACTGTTTGGTTTTAATCAAATGACGCATGTTTATTGAATTGATTGAAGTCTGATCAGCTTTTCTCGATTTCTGCTGCAACCTGAGATAGATAGAATCTGATTAGGTTGTTAGAGCCTCTTCATTCGATAGTAGGAGATCGGTTATACGAGAGTTAGCCAGTTTACTGCTTTGTACTGGAATCCAATTCCAGTAGTGGAGTTCTGTTCTTATTGCTTAAGCTTTCTATCCCGGTGAAGACTAGTCGTCTGCCGGATAGTTAGACTGAGAGGGCTTGGTCAGCTTAAGAGATTCCAAGCTACTGTCGGATCTTCCGCAGTGTAATCAACAGTAAATCAACCCAGGGTAATTACAATTGAACCTAACTAAGGAGCTAGGGGGACTTATTCCCGAGTGACTCTTTCCTGCTTGAGAAAACCGAATAATTTCCTGCTTTCTCACTGTTTTTAGTTTAAACACAAATCACTCGACTTAGTTGGCTAGATAATAGACAATCACGGAGTAAGCAGTAGATCTAGACCCCGGGTTGATAATAGAACTTGCCTGTTACGGCATTCCCGGACTGCGATTACACTTGGTCGCAGTTTGGTGTTGTGTTTTGGCGTGTCACTGCTCTTAATTTCCACAGTCCCTTTTGTTTTGCATGTTGGACAAACCCTCTCTTCATTGCTCTTATACATAATAGTTGCTTTTGCAGGTGGTTCCTTAGGATCTGATGCAGTAATTAGCAGATAGAAGACTAAAGGAAAACTTGATTAATTATGTTCCAAATGAAAGAGGGAGGTTTCATAACCATAGTAAACCTTGTTAGCCTCCAGCTCTGTGGCTAGGTTATAGATATACGTTGGATAGGAGGACCCGCAGTGGGGGACAAGATCCACAACAGAGGGAAACCAATTTTTGCTGACTCTGGAGGTTGATGTGAGAATTTGAAGGTTTTGCTTATCTCTTTCATCTGTTTTGTTTATCCACATCTTTTCTTAACTATGTTCTTCTGGTTCTATTCTCCAGTTCATCTTCTCTCGCTCAGTTTTCACCTATGAAGTCTCTTAGTGATCCATGTGCTCATGTAATTGATATACTGATCACATTCATGATAAATCGATCACCATGTGAATGCTTATGTCCCCTGCTTTCACCCCCTTTGTTACTGTTTTGCCTCAACTTCCGTACTCCGTTTCCTTTGTAATTTGGAATTAAAATTCCATCTGTTAGCTGAACTGGACCATTTAAACTGCATGAAGTAATCATTCGAGTTCTCTGGTAGGGTGCTATATGGTTCTATTGAGCTCAGTATTCTAGAATCTAAGGTCCGGTTCCTCATATGTTCTATAACTACTACTTTTCTTAAATACAGTTTGGTGGTTCGATACTATTATGCTTTTGCATAATTAGAACCCATGATTGGTTTCTCTTTGATGATAATTTCATTTGTAGGTCTTACATTACAGGATTGGGAAAAGAGAACAAAGACGAATAGCGATGAAAGATGCAAGAAGCAGTAAAATACAGCCTCCCTGCTCTCTAGACATTAACGACTTGCTCTTATTGCTCATATCATCATCATGATTTTGCGTGTAGGTCTGATAGTACCATTTTCTACTCTTTGGTGATAATGTAGGAACTGCACTGCTTGAGCAATCTGTCAAGCATTTCTCGAGCTTGCCTGATGTCCAGAAAATTGCATGCTTAGTTTGCAGCAGGGAAATGTTTTTGCAGTAGACATAAGACCAGTGTTGATCAACCGCCTGCACTTGCGGTCATCTCAGTATGGGGAACCCCTTTGATTTTAGCAAAGAACAATACCATGTCCTGTGTATTCTTGCTCCTATGTCTGCAATCAGAACCCAGAATTCTATGTGCTTTGACAAAGTACTAAAACATGTACCATCAATGATGATGCTTGGTGTGGATTGGCAAACCACGTAATTCTACATCCCCATGTACACTGACGGCACAAATCAACATATCCTGCGGCAGAGCGGTGAGCTTTATTTTGTAATTCACTACCTAAATTTTGTAATTCACTTATCCTCCAAATTTGTTGTTATTTGCTCTATGATATGCAGCAAGTTAGAGCAGTGAGCTTTATTTTGTAATTTGCTACCTAAAATTGGTTGATATGATGATATCTCATTCTTCTCTTTGATTTATTAAAAGTTCCTTTGCTCCCATATTCTAGGTGAGAAGGAAAAGCTGAAGAGGAGAACCAATTGTATGGGCAACCTATGTTCTCCTTCCCTTGCATTTGGTCACTGTGTGTTTATTTTGTGAAATGTGTCGATGTAACTGCAGTTTTCTTATGCTGAGAATTCATTATCTATTGTTGTTTGTGCATGGCTCTACGTTACAACTCAAGCACAAATGGAATATTAGTGTGTTGCACTCTTAGGTATTTACTTTAGGTTTCTGTTTAGGTATTTACTTTGTGTACTGGTGTTGCATTACTGCACAAGACAGTCTTTTGAAAATAATTCCAGCAACAAGATAATATGTTGTTATTTTCTCATTCCAGCATTTTTAATCTAAAATCCCAAAATCATTGGTCCTCGCGGCAATATAAACATTTCAGTAGTAAAAGACTGTCAATCCACTCTCAATTGTGGGCAAATAGTATTACGAATGCGGTTTAAGATTGAACTCTCTTATGGTTTATATTTTCAAGTATGGATATCCTTAAACTTGCAATGCTTCACGTAAGATCTACAAGGACTCAGCAATATAACATATCCCGCCGCAGAGAGCGGGCTGATCAACACATACTATAATACGCTGAAGCAAAAAACAGACCCCCCATTTCAAAATCCCAACCTCCAGAGTGTTTGTCGGAGGGGTATTTTCGGAACGGCAGTTCTGAAAGTTGGTTATCCGAGGCTACTCCTCTCTCCTTCGAAGGTTGTCAATCAGGAGCTCCATTGCTGATTTTTTCTCCCAGTCAATCTGAGCCTGCCTCTCTCCGTCCTCCGCCGTTCTCAATCCGACCCTCCTCCTCTCTACTTCCTCCGTCTTCACCGGCAACGGGCCTGCTGAATCAATCTCAGCCTCCCTCTCTCCGTCCTCCGCCGGTGTCTATCCGAGCCTCCTCCTCTCTCCGTCCTCCGTCTTCACCGCCAACGGCCCTCTGAATTTTCTCTCCGTCCTCCGCCGTTTTCAATCCGAGTCTCCACCTCTCTCCAGCCCTCCGTCTTGACCGCCGAAATCGGTTAGTATCCCGGCAGCCCTCTCGCGCTCTTGAGGTGATCTTTCCTTCTATTGTGTTGTTTATATTTTTTATTTCTTCATCTGAATCGATCCCAACGTCTTTGGTTTTCTAGCTTCTGTTTTGATTAGGTTCAAATTGTATATGAAAGGGTTTGTGTTTTTACGGCTGGGTAATAATTTTGGGGCCAGAGAATATAAGGCAGCAGGCGGAATTCTCTTTTGGGGGGACAGAATTTCGTGGAGAATTAATAGAGAAAGGAGCTGGCGATTAATCGATCCCAACGTCTTTGGTTTTCTAGCTTCGGTTTTGATTAGGTTCAACTTTGGAGGTTTAATAAGAGAGGGGTTACGGGTTAGAAAGTGTCTGAGATAATTGCATTAGCAGCATCAGGTATGTGGTTTTGTACATTAGTGTTGCTGTGTATATAGAAATCTGGAATCAGAATAGGTGTATGTACTGCCCATGTGTCTTGAATAAAGCCACTTCCATATTTTCAGGGTTTTGTTCTATTCAGTTTTGAATGTGATATTGTTGACTGTGATGGTGCTATGGCGATGATATGAATTGTGATTTTCAGGTTAAGTTGGTAGGGTTTGGAGTTGGTGATTACAGTTCAAGGAACGTTTGTGGAGGCTTGAGGTTTAATAAGAGAGGAACCACACCTTATCAGCCTCAAATAGTGAATTCTGAGGTCCCTTTCAAAGCTGAAATTCCATGTAAGTTATCTTTCCCAGATTCGGTTCATACAATAGCAACTTATACGTACTGTGGATTCGGTTCATACAACAGCAACTTATATTTAGTGTTGTTGATGTTTATCTTTACTTCTTATCAGAATCTGTACTAATGGAACACAACTTCGGAGGTCTAGGTGAAGAACTAGAAAATCTATACTTTCATAAGCCTTAAATATTCTGACTTTTCCCTTTCTTGCTAATTTAAGCATGTTTATATCTATTTGTTCCAGCTCCATGTCCTTGATTTTGATTTTGATTTTGCTTTTGCTTTTCACGTTTTCAGTTCAATCATACTGAAACTGCTTCTGAAGAGTTGGAGGTTAAATTCCGGATCTCCCAATTTGAAGAGCCAGAGAAAAATAGAAGGACAATTTGTGCGTGAAAATTGTTGTCATTCTTTATTGTAGACGCATAATTAAGTGATAACTATGTGGATGGTCTTTCTTACTACAGGTGGTTTGTTTAGAAATTAATTTGATTGAGATGGTAAACAGTGGGAAGTGAGATTGGTGAAGTTAGTGAACTAACAGGTTTCCTTTACTTTCATCTGCTTCAATTGTCTGAAATGCATGCAAGTTTCTTCTGGTTGTAGAATTGGGTCTGTCAAAGCTGTGTCGCTGGAGCTTAGGTGTCTATTGCCTTGGTTCGATCTTGATAGTTGACATAGTGTGTATTGGATTAGCAATTCTGAAATTTGATTCTGGGGTCAGTGTCCTGAATTTACTATGGTGAATGTGACTATTGTTTCTTTCAACATCCTTCTCCTCTTGCTTTCCAGCCATACTTTACATGCTTTTCTTTGTCATTGAGTTCTTCCTTTTTTTGCGTCTGTGACCAAAATCATTTTTTTCCATGAATTTTTCGTAGAGTTGTATCATATGTTGCCCTTTCACGTTCTAGACTTGAGATATCAATTTTTCTTTCAATGAAAGTTTAATTTTAATACAGTCAGAGATCCTTCTTTCTTTTTTATGTACTTTATATTTTATCATTTTGTTATGGTCTTCCATGAGTTTTGGCTTTCAAATTATTCTCAATTCAAAGGTTCTGGAAGATGCTTGAAAGCCTAATGCTATTATATGTGGCCAGTGATGTTGAATATTAGTCCAATTCGTTTACTGCATGTTGGCATTGATACTAATGTAATCCACATTAGCTTCTTCCTTGATGTTTGGGTATTTTAGTTCTAATATTCAAGAGTTTCATGTAGTTTTCTCTATTTTAAAATCTCTGCTCTCTTTTAAATTTTTGCTAAGAGTAAACTGTTAATTGACTTCGGGAGGATAACGGCCGAAATGCGGTTTCATGATAACTATCGAGAAAAATCTGAACCTGTAATCTTTCTAACATTTGTTGTTCCAGTCAAAGCTTCGCAACAATGTTCCAGTCAATGCTATGGCGATGATATGAATTGTGATTTTCAGGTTAAGTTGGTAGGGTTTGGAGTTGGTGATTACAGTTCAAGGATCGTTTGTGGAGGCTTGAGGTTTAATAAGAGAGGAACCACACCTTTTCTTTAAATTCAGTTTCATACTCTAATTGTATCATTTGTACATAGACAAATCATGCTCTAGATGACAACTCGCTGATATGGTTGGTGCAAGGAACGAAGCCATCATTAGAATTCAGACCGACAATGGGGAGGGATACCCAGGACTAATTCAATGAATGATTGATGATGGTATAATAAAAATTGCAGTCTGCACCAGTACCAATTTCTAGGCCTAAGTAAAGTTATTCAACCCAGAACTCTGCTTAGCGCTAAAAATGCCCTCACCCAACCTTGATCCTGTTTGACCCACTTCTGAAGAGTCAAGATATATGACTAATCCTCTCCGTTCGAAATTTCTTATTGACTCTTTCTGACCCTTTAGGTTGGGGTGGGTCGGGAAGAATCGGATTAGTGGGTCGGTCCTAATCAAGTGGAATCCCAATCTCTTCACTCTCACTTGCTTTTTCTCCCATTCCACAAGTGGGTAACATAATAAGCTAGTTAGTAGTAATAATAAGGGCAATGTCTATTTTTTACCCAAACCTTTTTCATATTCTTTTATTTTAACCAAACCTATTGAATTCCTAAAAATTATCCAAACGTTAACTCTCCGTCAACTTTTCTGTTAGTAATGCTGACTAAGTATGACCATAATGAGTTGACTTCCTACGTGACGGTCATGATACCATCACTTACTATTTTTAATAAAAAGATTATCAAAAAACAAAACAAAATCCCACCCCTCACGTGGACGAAATAAGTAACGGTAACAGAATGAATGCCCAGACTTTGATAAATTATAATACGTTTGGATAATAAATAGAATTTCTATAGGTTTGGTTAAAATAAAAGAATCTGAAAAAGGTTTGGGTAAAAAATAGACATTGCCCTAATAATAAAACTACTCTCTATAAGCCGTATCAAGCCAAAGTCTCTTTGTTTAACCCGAGTCGTCTCGATTCATCTGCACGGAGTCGCTTGGGCGTTGTTCTGGCCCCAAGGCCCGATCTATAACGCCCTCCCTTTCCTTTAGACCGTGTTGTCCTCTCTTTTATCTCATCTAGGGTTTCTTTTCTTTCTACGAGCTCAGATATGGCCGACGAATCCCACTACTCCGCCGCAGACACCGCAACGGCCACCGTCACTCCTACCAAGCGCAAGTACGATGACCAAACGGCCACTGCTCGTCGCCACACGGGTTTTTCTTCGCCGGATTCTTCAGCCCCTATTCCTTCTTACAATAATGTCCCGCCGCCTGCCGATGAGATCCAGATGGCCAAGCAGAAAGCTCAAGAAATTGCTGCGCGTTTCCTGAGTGCTGCCGCTGGAGGCGCTCCTGTTGATAATAAGCGCCCTAGGGTTGAGAATGGGGGCAGCGGTTTTGATTCCAATGATAAGGGCTTTAACTCTGGTACGAATGGTCGACTCTCTGGTTTTGATAGCTATCTTGAATCGTTGTTATTGCGTCGTGTTGCGGAGTTTAGAAACTATAATAACTGTTCCTTGATGTCAAATTAGCTACGTCGGGCGTTCCTATTTCCTATGGTTCTTTTATGGGCGGTACAAGCAAAAGAATCGAAATACCAAATGGAAGGGTTGGTGTTATCATTGGCAAAAGTGGGGAGACTATCAAATATCTTCAAGCTAATTCTGGGGCGAAGATCCAGGTAACGCGAGATCTGGAAGCTGACCCCAATTCGCCAACCAGAGCTGTAGAGCTCATGGGTACTCCTGAACAAATTGAAACTGCAGAACGGTTGATTAATGACGTTCTTGCCGAGGTAAGCTCTTCTTGATACGAGTTGTGGGTTTCACTTTAAATTAGTTTTCGGCAAATGGATTAGAAGTTTTGAAATGCTTAGCAATCGGCTTCCGTTGTCTGATTCCCGTGTTAATTTTACACTGCTATTGATGCTCAAAACTGCTGACAATGACAAGAGAATTGATTTGTTACTAGCTAAGAATTAAGATTTTGGATATTTTACACAGGCTGATGCTGGAGGTTCTGGTACAGTTTCTCGAAGGCAAGGAGGACAGGCTGGTGGCGATCATTTTGTCATGAAAGTCCCAAATAACAAGGTACGTGGGCTTAGTTACTGCTGTATGCTCCATTAGCTGCTTTGGTGCAGATTGGTTGCAATGTGCACATGATTTCAGGTTGGTCTGGTAATTGGCAAAGGAGGTGAGACAATTAAGAGCATGCAAGCGAGGACTGGTGCTCGCATTCAGGTACATCTTAGAATTTAGCTACTTCCTTGTGCTTTCTTTTGATTACATTGACAACTGATTGGTATTCTACATTGAGCTTCGTTTAGCTTTATGCAAGTCCAATTGAATAAGTGGCCTTTGATTCTTGCAGGTGATACCTCTGCATCTCCCCCCTGGGGATACCACATCAGATAGGAATGTACATATAGATGGGACAAGTGAACAGGTTGAGGCTGCAAAGCAGTTGGTCAATGAAGTCATTAGTGAGGTATGTGTTGCTTTTTGCCTAGTCATTGAAGGAGTACTCCCATTTATTCTTTTGACTGTTCATTGTTTGCCATATCAATATGGTATCTTCATTGTTAATTTACTTGCACTCTTCACAACTTCCTTTTACAATTTACAATGTTCTTCAAGATGTACTTTATAAATATAATAGCAGATGTTGTGGGGTTTCTCTATTTTTCAGTTAAAGTACAATGTGTTATGTATCCTTCTAACTTGTCCGGGTTAGTATTATTGAAAATTGTATGCATTGATTGTTCCTTTTGTATTTCATTATTTCTACTCATAGCTTGTCGCGTAAGTATCTGTTTGTACCTTAACATTTTATACCCACTGTATGTATAGTTGGTTTTATAATTAGCCAACTTAATGATTATCGATTCCTCTTCTAGCTGCTTACATTTTGTGCTCAGTATCTCAAGACAATAACCATAAATTGCTGTTTATTTTGAAAATGGATTATAATTTCAGTTATTGCAAATGATTTAACTTTTCAAGATTCAGAAAGTTGCTGATTGAGCTTGATATATAGCTTTTGTCAATGTCTGCTGGAAATGAGTGAAAGAATGATATTTAGCTTTTAGCTTCCAAATCATTGGTGCTTATGTATTTGTAGACTCTAGTATTACGGTTTTACATTGTGAAATATGAATAAGAGGATGAGTAATTTTGCTGCTTGATATTCCAGCACAGTCCAAACACCAGTTTATGGGAATAATGTACTTCATTTGTTTTTTAC